CAATTTCGTTCATTTTACGAATAAGTCAAGTGGTGTACTCCTCTTCCAAGTTATTCTACCGACACTGCAGCTAAGAAGCTCAATTTGGTCCGAAGTATGCAAATTGACAGCTACACTAGACTCGTTCCGTCCAGAACGAGCGGTATTGTTGTCAAGGACAACGTGTTATTGCCGATTGTGGAGCATTGTACCCGAAAATGGGTACTATATTTTAAAAAATGGGCATCTCAGCTGTTTTACTTGTCCAAGAAGCAATGATACCGTACTACAGACCTTGCTCGCAGCGAAGTCATCACTTCAACGAGGAGATGCAGGCTTGAGCAAAGGATCTCTTTGCTGGGGCGCGTCTGTCGTTGCCAAACGCCTCCTCTTGGTCACCCTTCCACTGAATTCGTAATGGTGCCCATTTCTGCCATCGTTTTGGGTCTCTCGAAGGTGATGAGCCAAAAGTGCGCCACCCACTGTGGAACAGAAGCGGGCGCGCCCCCTTCGACAGTAGACAAGCAGTGCCCAAAAGTCCCCAACTCTTCGATCGCTCACTTCTCTTTTCCACCCCTCGCTCGCAGGCGCCTTTGTGTCACGTTGGCCGCTTCGCTCTGTCGCTGGCCAAGTCATCCCACCCCATCCGCTCACCACGTGCACTAGTCACTCGCTCGTAGACACCAGCTCGATGGCTGTCGGTATGACGCTCAATCAGTTGTACGCGCCGTCGCCCTCCACTTCCAGCGCCGGCGCCACGCTCACTCCACCTCAAGGACGGAGTCCCAAGGGCCAAGAAGACATCAAGGCGACTGCCAACGCCGTGCAGCTCCCGCCTCAGGCGCCGCAGCAGATGGATCGCATCTACCAGATGCCCTTCCCCAACCAGCAGCCACAGTACTCACCACAGTATCCTGCGTCGTCCTCCGCCATGCCGTACCAACCACTAGCCAAGCCCGGCCCCAGTACGTCTGAGGACTACGCGGCAGATCCGCTCCCGTTCGAGTACAGCCGCAAGTACTCGCCTCCACAAAGAGAAGATGTGACTGCGGGGCTTAGAGGACCTGTGTCGATTATCACATCGAGTGCTTCGACGCACTACAACGACTCGTACGGCTCGCATCCGGTCTATGCCAGTCAGCGCTTGAGTCCCTACGGCCAACCGCAATACCCGGAGCCTCGTAGCTACCACCACCCAGAGATGAACGCACCACAGCCTCATTTTCCTCGCTCAACGGGTCCTCAGATGTACAACCCCATGTTACCTCTGCCTAATCATCAGTTCACCAAGAAGGAGGTGGACACGTACCCTCAGCCACAGACTGCTGTATATGGAGACGTTCGAGGTCCTGTAGCTGCAACAGGCTCCGCTCAGGAAGCCATGATCAAGGTCAAGACCCCACTGAAGCTCAAGTACTGGAGGAACGGACGACGCAATCTACAGTGCTTCCCGAGTTGCAAGGTGTTCGGAGACTACTCGGCTATTAAGATTGAAGATCTCAAGCAGCACGACTTCATGTGGGGCAAGTGTCGCGGTAGTTTAGTGACCGAAGTCACACTTAACAGCAACGTGACATTCGACGATCTCGTTCTACTGGGCCGTGTCCACTCGCTCGAGAACATCCCTGTCGCCTTTGAAGAAGCTGTGATCCGGGAGTGTATGCTGGGACGTACCGTCGAGACCGACGAGATGGACGCGATGAAGGACCAGTGGATCACTGGTGAACGCCTCCCGGACTTTGTGCAGCAAGAAGGCAACGTCGCTTGCTTTGAGTTTAAGCCTAAGGTCTGGAAGTACACAGAAGATATGGCTCAGGGCAAATGCAAGCGTCGCAACGTCAAGTATTACGTGCAGTTCGAGGCCTTCGTGCAGATGGTGGCTGGTGATCGCCGCTACTACGCGTGTATCGGCTCGGGAATGTCGACGTCTTTCGAGGTGGGATCGAGTCGTGTACTCGCCCGACAGAAACGTAAAGCTGCTTCGAGCGCTGCAGAGGCAGCCAAGAAGAGTCCGCAGTCCGACATGTTGCAACCGCAGCAGATGATGCACAATGGCAACCCAGTCATGCAGAATGTGATGGCGACGCACCCCATGTACGCGCCCCCACCGGCGTACCACCACGATGGCCAATCGAGAAGCTTACCTCCGACCTTCCCACAGGTGATGATGAACCAGATGCCTCCGCAAATGCCGACGGAGATGCACTACCCGATGCCGCAGCAGCTTCCGCAACAGACCCAGTCGTCTCCGCAGCCTTCAGTCGGTGAGAAGCGCAAGATGAGCAGTGAACGCCCAGCGTTTCCTACAGATCGCTCGGCTAAGATGTTCAAGCCTACAAGCGGGGTCCCGCAGTCCGTGCCGATTTAATGTGGGCTGGACGGAGGAGCAAGAACTGCGTGCGTTGACGATCTCTATTTTTTTCAGTAAGTTTGATTGTTTATAAGCGTGCTAGCTGTGTGCGCTGCCGTATGAAGCGTGTGCTCTGGGAGTAAGAGCACGTGCTGGGCAGCCGTCGCAAAAGCGCACCACCTTACCAGCGTTATTCGCGCTGTGTAGATACGATTTTTTTTTTTGAGTGATTGCTGAAAAGGCCCCCGCATGTAAGAGCCTCTATATCGTTAAATAAAAGTCTCGGTATTTATTGTTGAAACGAGTCTAGTCAAAGTTCCCCCCATTTTTGGTCATGATGCTTCTTCGCGTGGTGCTGCTGCTTTTGGTGGTCGCTAGAGTGGCGCAGGGCTCAGCGATCCGAGCGTTGGACGGCCTGGGCAACGCTGTGGCATGGTGGTCTGTGCTCAAGCTGCCGTCGCATGTGCAATCACCTGATGGCACCGTGATCCCGACGCCGTGCGACTGTCCCGTTCCAGACTGTAGCAACGTAGCCACGGCCGGATGGCCAGCACTCGAAGCGAGAGCCACGGGGCTCTGCTATCTCTACGCGGACTCGAGGACTCCCGAGTTCCGGCACTTCCGAGACGTGGGCTACGACTGCTTGGGTCAAGGTGGCAACGACCCCGTAAGCCATACACTCAAGCAGAAAGAGAATAGTTCATACTGGGCGCTGTTTAACGACCAGCTCAACGGAATCGCCGCAGCTTATCACCCTAAAACCAGAAGTTTGGACGATAGCAAGCGCGTATGTGGAGGTGGTGATCTGTTCAGTGCCCATGCTAAAGGAGCCGTGGCATTTCAGAGCGACGGCAGTGGCGGCTTCTTTTTACAGACATCGACCCCCAATTTCCCAGATCCTACGCGCAACGACTCGTTCGTGAGACTTGGCTGTCAGGCTGATAATAATGTGCACTTCGCTCAGCATATGCTGGCCATGTCATTGGGGGACAATGCGTTGAGGCAACTTGGAGACAAATTGCAACTCGCGAGATTGTGTTCTGGCAACTTTTTTCTCAATGAATCGTTGCGTGAACTGCTGGGAAGTGCCAACTTGTTCGAAGATGGCGCAAAACAGGAGAATACAAGTGCCTCTGCGTTTTACCACGCGTTGTTGGACCAATACCTACCAGTACAGATGCCTTCAGACCCGATGAAAGCCGAATTTCGACTGAAGTTGTCGGGATCTCATGTGGAGAAGTCTAAAGTGTATAAACCGCTGGCTGAGGGTCAAAAATTGGCGAATTTTAGCTTACTAGAAGATGAAGAGGTGCGAGTGTTGGTCAAGAGTCCACGTGCTGCCGTGCCGCCATGGACGCTTGTAGCTGAAATGCTGGATTCAGATGTGAGTGTAGCTTCGTGGTGGGACGGCAGCTACGGCATCCCCACTATATGCGCTGGTGACGTCTACACAAACTCCCCACACGAGTTTTGCCTGAATAATCCACTGACAGGCGTCGAGTTGAACGTGGATGGATCTGCTCCATACAACATCGAGAACCTCATGCAAGCCACGTATGTACAACAATTGAACATTCTGATACAGTTATAACTTAATCTTGTTTTTGATGCTTGCAGCTGGCACATGAGCGATGGCAGCACCAACTTGACTTGGCAACTGGTTGGAGGTCGCGTTCCAGACGGGAATCACGGTAAGAAGTCGATACATCGTGCAGTTTAATAGACTGCTAACAGAATTGCTGTGCATCCATCTTACAGCGAAGTGGGGGCTGACAACACCTCGCTTTGGTCATGCGGATAGCAACGCGTACGTGACCTTCGGCGACCTAAATATGGAGGGGTTCCCGTGCTCCAAGGCGTGCAATGGCTCACAAGCAGGTCGAGGCGGAAGCTTCTTTTCTCTCATGCAACCGCGCTTGCACAAAAGTCTAGCAGACTCGGTGATCTCCGGTGCATGTCGATGTTCTCCTCCTACAAAACTCCAGAAGTTGGAGGTGGAGGATTCTCCATTTTCAACTTTCGAGGAACTTCGGATGTGTCACCGTGGCTGTGTGAAAAAAATTGAGGAGCGTCTGGAGCCAACTCAATTGCCAACATTGAGCGTGAACGCTTCGTCCTTTTGGTCAAAGTAAGAAAGAGTGTACTGGTACATATAACCAGAAATTGTAGTAGTGAAAAACTTTAGCGGATTTTGCACTTGTAAATGTGTATCAGATGAAGAAAGTTGAGGAATGTTGACTCAATCTCCACACACCATCACAACAATGTAGAGGCAAGTACTACAATTTCCTTTTGCTCATGACAGACGTCGTTGTATTTGCTTTGATACAGCTACCTCCATCAGAGCACGAGACCTGCTCCATCGTGATTACTTGGACGCCGAAATGTACAACACTGGCAACAGAAGGCACAAAAATACTAGCATTAGCTTTCTTGAGCATGGGTAAAAGATCGCGTTATTAGTTGCCACTGACCGTTGTTGCCACGAATGAAGCAGTCGCCGTACTGCGCCTTCAGCTGCCCATTTTGATACTCCTGCGTCTGTTCCATAGCAATATTCATGAAGCCGTCCAGGCAGGCCAGCACGCCCTTGTACTCCACGCCGTTGTTGAGCTTCACATCCACGGGACGGCCTAGTACGCCCTTGAGGAAGTCGGACGGCGTCTTCTTGTTGCTCGCGTGTTGCTCCTGCTCCGCCATACTTATCCGTTGTGAAAAAAATGGGGAGTTTTGATAAAACGTTTTATTGGTTTCAAATAACGTTTACAAAAATGCATTATCTGGGAAACATTTTTCGTTATTAAGTAAAAAAAAAACGCAAGAATCTCTGTGGCGCGCGGTGTAAGGCCAAAGCGGGTTGCCAATTAGGTCAAGCGCGTCCACATCGTAAAACACTCGTGTTCTCGTCCACTTTTGGTCGGCGAATTGAAGCATTGGATTGGACGTGCTTAGGAATCCAGTGAAGGTGACAAATTGGGCATGTCGGACAAGCAAATGAGGATATTAGTCAGATTGTTTGTCCGACATGCCTGGGCATGAAGCTAAGTGGCCGCGGCCGACATCGAAAATATGTGGCTTAGTGGATGAAGGGCGCTTGCTTATCTTCGCTGGTGGCAAGCTGGTTGTAAGGAGTTAGCGAAGAATTTGGTTGTTCCGTTCCAGTAGCGCCGCTTACAAGAACACAAGACACAGCAAGCAAGAAGACTCGTGCGAGATTTCATAGATGTACTGATTTCTTAAGGCTTGTCACGAGACTCGTCGACTATGCGAAGCTTATTAAATGGTATCGATGACTTGCTCCATGACGATTCGTAGGTCCACAACAGCATTCGGGTTTAGTCCATTTGGCAAAGGTTGGTTTGCAGGGATTGACAAAATACGACGCATGTTGAAAGTCACACTGTCAGCAGGTCTTGGTCTGTTGCGTCGTCGAATTATCCCCGTCGCTGATGGTGGTGGAAGACACTGCGGTATATTGATCTCATACAGGCGGTACGTAATCTGAGTACCAGGACGGCTCACCTTCAGTAGCAAAATGTACTGAATCCCAGCATAACCGCACCACCATTGGGCAGCAGTTTCCAGACTTGCCCAAGTCTGAGATCTTCCAACCTCCACTGCCAGTGTCACCCAATCAGCAATAATACGAGGCCGCGGTGGTCGTGTTCGGTTTGGCGTCGATCGCAACGGACCATACGTGTCATCGGCCTCCTTCTTTGGGAGACCAACTCTACTCACTGTCGTTGAGCCTCCAATTTTGACCAGGCGTCCATTTCCAGTTGCAGTTAGGAACTCGAACTCGAAACATTGCACAGTGGACTCGTGCACTGTTGTTGATAAATCCACAATCAAAATGCGACCATCATCACTGAGCTGGAGAAATCGAAGCGCAAATCGAAGTCCTTCGCCATCGCCAATGTACCTGTTGAACGCACCGACGGAAACTCCATCGCATACCACATAGGGGTCGATTTCGTCGTCGTCTTGCTCGAAATAACTGGCAATGTCATCAAACTCCAGGGCATCGATGATGTCGCGAATTTCACGGGCAGTTTTTGATTGAGTTGGGCGTGGGGAACTCATACTTGCTGTAGCAATAGATGACTCCTCGATCGATACAGCGACTCTCGCTTTGAGTAGTTCGGGTGACTGTAAGACGTATCCCCGTCGCCCATATTCATTCTTCTCTTTTTTCTTGGAAACGGGAAAGGAAATCAATATACAGTCGTGCACCTCCAATTCGGCACCGGTATCAGTCGATACACTGCCAGATTTTATGATTATGCGAATCGGATGCGCAATTACCTTTGCCCATCACCACCCTAGCAATTAACCTCAACGGTTTTCCCCTCCTCGGGGAGGGATGACACGCCGCATCGATCTGATTTTAAATTTTGGAGCGGACGTCTTCATACAAATAAACACTTTATTTATTACCGCCAAAGACAATGGGACATCGCCCTTCCTCCTACATGTCGCTAACTCTAGCACAAAAGCAGTCTTTGTGCGAGAAGTACAAGTCAGATCCTGCGTTCTCTGACTCAGAACTTGCTCGTTCTACAATGGTGTTCCTTACACACCGGTCGAAGTTTACTCCGCCATGAAGTGGTTGTCTGAAGGCTGCAACAACATATCTGCATAGACTATGAGAAAATGTTGGTGCCAAACAGGCATCGTCTCAAAACTAAACTTTTTTTTTTTACTACATTAACAAAATAAATATCAGTGCACTGGATTTGCGTTTGTTTTATGCTTTACGTTGTGCAGTTATGCCCTGGCACTGTTGATATGGTCCGCCCTGCCGAATTGGAGGTGCACAACTGTATATAAGTATGATTTGTGTCGAGCATTGGTAAGTAAGATTTCTGGCTGAAATCTTTTTTTTTATAAAAAATCTGTTGTTTTTTCCAATGATCAAACCCGAATTTCCCCCAATAGGAGACGATTTTTGGGGAGCCAAACTTTTTAATTTGTTTTGGCAGTTTGCGCCACCTCTGCATCTGTTTTAACACATTTTACAATTGTTTTCAACTATGGAGCAGTTGCAACGCGAGTATCTTCACTACGCACGGCGTAAGGCCCAAGCCACCGACTACTTCGACGCAGACGACAGCGCAGATGAACGCGGACATTCTCCCGCCGCTACTGCGGCCGTCGACGACGATGAAGTGGACCCGTTGGACGCCTTTATGCAGGGAATTGACACCGAGGTGAAGCAACAGCGCACAGCGCCACCCAAACTAGTGGCTGACAAGGTGGGAAACACTGGTAAAAACCCATGCGTTTCTATTATGTTCCAAGTTATCTAAACTTCGCCAATGTGTGGTTAACAGCCTCAAGTGTTGAATCATGTGGATGATGACGCAGACAGCTTTCTGGAAGAATACGCACGGGTGAGCTTTAGTTTCTATTTTGCATTTTTTTTAGTTGCATTGCCATGGACAAATCAGTTTATATGTATATATTTTTTACCTTTTGCAGACAACTAAAAAGCCTCGGGTGGGTCTGAATTTGGGTGACGATGACTCGGACGAGGAAGTCTACGCTACTGCCAAGCAACTGGACGATGCTGATGCTCCAGACGACATGGCAAAGAAAGTGATGGAAGTTTTAACACCAGTCGACCATTCCATCATGACATACGAACCATTTCGGAAAAATTTCTACGCTCCTCGCAGCGAAACTTCGGCTCTCAACGCTCAAGAAGTGGCAAGTATCCGCTCCGAGCTGAATATTCGTGTGGAAGGAGCTGACGTTCCAGCTCCCGTGAGGTCGTTCATGCATCTCGGCTTCGACAAGAAAATGTTACAAACACTCATGAAACTGGGACTTGAAGCTCCGACGGCAATTCAGGCTCAAGCTTTTCCAGTGGCTCTGTCGGGTCGAGATTTGATTGGCATTGCCAAAACGGGATCAGGAAAAACGTTGGCATTTACATTGCCAATGGTTCGTCATGTGATGGACCAAAGAGAGTTGCAACGAGGTGAAGGACCCATTGCAATTGTGTTGGCACCGACTCGAGAACTCGCACATCAGACATACGTGCAAGCGAAAAAGTTTCTCGCGGTGTATGGAGCTTCGTGTGCTGCGATTTATGGCGGGGCAGGCAAATGGGAACAAGTTCAGGCACTGAAAAAAGGTGTCGAGGTTGTTGTTGCTACACCTGGTCGATTGATCGAGATGATAAGGAAGAAAGCGGCTCCGATGAATCGTGTGACGTTTGTGGTGCTGGATGAAGCCGATCGCATGTTTGAAATGGGATTTGAGCCCCAATTACGCTCCGTAATGGGTCAAGTGCGTCCAGATCGACAAACACTCATGTTCTCAGCCACTTTTCGTAAACGGATTGAAGTTCTGGCATTGGATGTGCTTACGAATCCAGTGAAGTTGACAATTGGCCAAGTTGGACAAGCAAATGAGGATATTCGCCAAATTGCTGTCGTGTTGCCTGGACATGGAGCTAAGTGGCCGTGGCTGATGTCGAAAATACGGGCTCTAGTTGATGAAGGTCGTTTGCTTATCTTCGCTGGTAGTAAAGCTGGTTGTGAAGAGTTAGCAAAGAATCTGGCTGTTGCTTTCCCAGTAGCGCCTGCTCTGTGTTTACATGGAGACAAGACGCAAAAAGAGCGAGCGGAAGCGTTGATGAAGTTCAAACATGGCGAATGTCGCGTTCTAGTGGCTACTGATGTGGCTGCGCGTGGTCTTGACGTTAAGGATGTGAAGAATGTGGTGAACTTTGATGTGGCGAAGAACATTGACACTCATGTGCACCGTATTGGACGTACGGGACGTATGGGTCAGGAAGGTTTTGAGCCTGGGACGGCGTATACTTTAGTGACACGCAACGAGTCGCAGTTTGCAGCCCAGTTAGTGTACAATATGGACGTCTCCGGCCAACCAGTTTCAGCGGAACTACTTGCACTTGCTAAACGGGACTCACGGTTCCGTCGTGGAGCTGCTGTTCGTACACCTACAGCGAGTAGCAGTACTGGAGAACCGTCGGTAAGTGTAGAAAGCGGAGAGGGTAATCTTGATGCAGAGGACGCTGCCGAGTTGGAGCGATGGAATGATAGTCGTCGGAAGAGCAAAGCTGACCAACGCAAAGGATTGGGTTTTGCAGGTGCTGGTGCTAAACCAGCGAGGTCAGGTGGAATGCGCGGGTTTGTGAAGGCGACACCAGCCACCTCGTTAGCGAGTGCCTTTCGTTTAGGTTTTGTCAAATCGACATTAGAAGCCGACACTGCAGCAAAGCCTTCAGCTTTGAGCACTCTTGCTCCGCCTCCACCAACATCTGCTCCGTTAGCTCCAGTGATCAGGCCCAGTCCAACAGCTCAAGTACCTCCGCCACCCCAACGAATGCAAGTTTCAAGTGTTCCAACCACCAACGCTTCTTCGCTACCTCCTGCTGTACCAACGCTTGAAGACACGAAGACATCAGTAGCTACACCACAGGTAAAACCTTCACCTAGAAGGTCCTACTCACGAGAAAGACGATCACGTTCAAGAAGTCGAGGCCGTCGAAGCTCTTCTCGCAGTCGTAGCAACTCAAGAAGCCGACATCGCTATCGTTCGCGTTCAAGCTCGTCCGAAAGTGATCATCGACGTCGAAGGTCTCGTCGATGCTACAGCAGAAGCAGAAGCCGCAGTCGAAGTCGAAGTCGAAGCAGGTATCGTAGACGCTCTCGATCAAGATCAGGTCGGAGACGTTGAAACCTGCTGTCAATGATACAAAGAAAACGTACCAGACGCAAGACGTAGCTGAGAGTAGGAAGGCTTAACAAAAACTATAGGAAACTACATGATACTGGGGCGGCGGCTTATTTGTCTTTGCCCTTCCGGCGATCATCCCCATCAAAGAGCGAATCTATTGTCTGTCAATTCACGCCTGTGCCTCCGACGCAGCATCCTTTGAAGTTTCTTCTACCGCCGCTGCCTCTCCACTAGGTGCTCCCTCGCTATCCTCCTTCGTCTCCGCCTCCGTTGCAGTGGATTCCTCCGTCTTTGTCACTTCAACAGGAGCGGGGGGAGCCGCGCGGTTCACAGCCAAGTCGGCCGTGGTTACAATATCTGGCACCGGCTCATCGTCGTCAAAATCGTCGTTCTCCATACCGGGGATCGGCTCGAACGGAATGTCCTCGAACGTGTTCTCAAACTTAGCCCAGCTGCCGCCAGACTCAAAGTTTGCCCACCGATCGGCGCCCGCTTCGCCCTCGTTATCCTTGGCCGCACTCTCCTGCCGTGCCAGCTCCTCCTCGTCTTCCTCCTCGCTACTGCTGCTGTCGTTCATGATCTCCGGTAGCATGGGTGTGTCCGTGTCCTTCACATCAAAGTCCGTATCAAAGCCGTTCGGGTCGGAGCCAAAGCCTGAAGCCCCCAACATCTCAGCAAACTGAGCGTTCAACAGCTCGTCGTTCTGGTTGAATCCCATAACCGAGTACGGGTCTTCTCCTCCCTGAGAGATCGTCACACCGCCAAGGGGAAGACGCTCGCGCTCGTAAATAGGAGCGAGAACCTTACTGGACAGCTCCTCCCATTTCTTCCACGTCACGTCGTCTTCTTCGAACAGCTCCAGCACCGTGTCAGCGTGCCGCATGTCGTTCAACGAGCCTTCCTCGTTGGTGCTGCCACGCACGTCCTCCAGCATAGTCATGAGCATGTTGCAGATTCGGTGAAGATGACCCACATACCCCAGCGAAAAACCCTTAGCAACAGCCGTAGCCTCGTCGTTCTTCTCGTGCGCCTCGATGATACGCGGCAGCAGACGCGCGTCCTTCACTAATCCTACCAGCAGTTCGTGGCTGCCACTTTCTAAGATACCGATCACCATACTCTCCACGTCCGCATGCAGCATGTTGACCGACTCGAACTTAAAGAACAAGTCCAGACACGTCTCGATCGCGTGCTGTTCGAGCAGCGCAATGTCCACCTTCTGGTACTTGGACTGCATGAGCAACACCACCAGTCCGACCATCTTAAGTCGACGCAAACCCAGTCTCGGGACCTCCTGGTGACGCTGGTTACGGATCATCCCGGCGTCTGCTGCGTCGGCCTTCAAGATGGCACAAATCTGAGGCAGACGCTCCACTGCGGACGCCACAGCCGGCGGCATCTCATCCGTCGCGCAGTACTGAGCGTTCGTCGCTCGGGACAGCAGTGCGCTCAGCACTGAGATCGCTCCTGTCATAGAAGACACACACGAGGTATCTTCCTCGCTCGGAACTGCTAGCGCCACCAATTTCTCCGCCACTTCCTTCGTCTCCAAGTGCTCCAGTAGTGCAAACGACACCGGCGTGCTGGAACTGGCCGGTGAAGCTGGATCCGTCTGCTGTGCACGCGTGCCGCAGTGGATAATGTCCACCAGCACTTCGGACGCGTGTTTGTGAGCGTCACTATCGGCTTTCGGGTCTGCAAGAGTCTCCAATAACAAATCCACAACGGTAGGTTCTGACTGCCACGTCAGCGTCTTCTCCTTGGACGCTGTGGGCGTGCCACTGCCACTCAAATGATCATCATCATCTGCTCCGTACCATGAATTGGACGGCGGGAAGCCCATCGACATACCAGGGAAGTCCATACAGTCGTCCATATAGTCAGCTTGGTAAGGCTGTAGCAAACGCTTAAGCAGCTCAGCGACGGAGAAGCTGGCGGCGTGACGCGAGAAGCCAGCCAATAGCTGCTCCGAGTTCTTGTTAAGTAACGCCGTCATCTCCTGCGGTTTACGTACCATGAGCATGGTTACGATCTTCTCAAAGTAACCGGCTAGACGAGGATCCAACGGCTGCGTTTGATAAAGGAATTCAAACAAAGTCTCGACGATTTTTCCCTCCGAAGCGGTAACTAACGTCTCGGTGATACTCGTGATATCGCAGCAGATGACCTCGCACGACATGTATGGGTACTTGAGTGTGCGCAGGTCGTCGGATGTGTCCTCGGGGGTGCGTACGACGTACTCGATGAGCTTCTGCACGATGGCTTCCTGCGAGAGACTGCGAATAGGCATTTGTTGTTCAAATAGGGATGTTAGTTCCTAAAATAACGACTAGTTTTAGGCAAAATAACGTTCGAATGTAGGAATGATGGTCGTACAAGTCCAGCAGCTTCGTGTTGCGCGTCTTGACCTCCTGCACCAGCTCGTCCTCCTGTAGCACCTGCTCCAGCGTGAAGTCGTCCTTCTCCAGCAGGTCGTTGAGCGGGCTCGAGATGTTGAAGAGCGACGAGCCCTGCGCCCACACGCTACCGTCGTCGGCCATAGCGGAGAACAGCGACATGGTTGTCGAATAAGGAAGCCCCCTCTCTCTCTCACCTAGGTGATGCAGGGGGAGCAACAGACTCTCGGGCTCCGCTTGGTTGTGGGCCGGAGGTTTCTTCTTCCCTGGTGGCCGCGGCACCTTCCCCCCCTTGTTTGACCCGTTTTTGTGGGTGGTTTACTCAGTATGTGTATTTTAGCTTATTCAATATATTGAGATAGTGTATAATTAATTATGTGTAGGGAGGTGGGAAGCGGCGGATTCCTCCGCAACAATGGGGCTGGGGGTGGCTTCACCGCGGGATTGGCTAATTTTTTGCTTTGAGCTTTTTATAGCAACTTGCTTGGCTCGCGTGACGCTGGCTTATTATTGTGCTATCCGGAGACGCTAGTGGAAGTGCGATGTGCTGACGCGTGGTGACAGGCGTCAAAGCACCGCGCGAAAATGTAGAGGGCGGAAAAAGGAAGCAGGTTGAGCAACAAGATAGAGAATGGTCGAGCTTGGCAACGATATGGTGCTAGTCGTCGGATTTAATCGTTGCAACTGTTTCGGTGGCTAAAGGCACATTCCGACCACCAATTGGATCAAAGGGTCCTTTCTGACTGAGCATGTATTGGCCATAATCATTTTGTTTTTTTCAGCCAATAATGGAGAGCGATTGGCTTGCGTGTTGAAGTTGTCATGCCCGGCTCACACGCTACACCAAACTTGACGACAAGGCCACGACTGTCTCGGTCACTGCTCCACAACATGTGCCAGTGATGATCTCTGCGAACTTGGCTTTGTACGTGTGGTCTACTTCGGACAGAACCGCTGCCATAAAGTCTAAATCACGCCACATTGTCAATAACACTGCATTAAAAAAATACATTGATCGGTTCAATAGGCAGGCTTGCGTTCATCATATTTTGCTGTTTGGAGCGGAAATATTTTCTAATCCATTTTAGTGCTAATGAAAGAATGCCTCCTTCTCGATTGAGCTTGTTAAGTGTAAGCAAGCTCGATCGCTCAAATTATTTAAGAGAAAAGATAAGAGTCCACGTTATTTTTGACTCGATCGACCCTCGATGCATAATGGACTGTTCACTACTTAAGTACTAGTTAACTGAAGAATGGCCGAGGTAGAGGTGTTTGCAGCACCATCAAAAGAAGCTCCTACGGAAACACTTGTGGACCGAGCAACGCCACGTATTCCGCTATGGAGGCGAGTTGAGGAGAAGTGGGATAAAATTCAAATCGGACGCCAAGGCTCGTACTCCGTCGAGCGGCTCGAAAGTCTGGAGCACTACTACAAAACTACTTCAAAAGCTCGCGTCATTTTGGTCTGCATTGCGACCCCGTTGCCTGCGTTGACTACAGGTGTGCTCGTGGAATGCTTACCACTGCGGTCTCCATCCGAGGGGTGGAAAGCCAATTGGGTTTTCTGGATCCGACTTCTGCTAGTTCACCTCATTCTGAATGTTGCCGTGAATTCCCAATTGATCCGGTTCATACCGGGCCTCAATTTCACTTTCGGTAAGATTGTTATTATCGCCGCGGGGATTACTACTGCCTTCCTTGGGACGGCTATCCTGGCTGCAAGCACGATTGGATTCCCTGTGCCGCTCATGATGCAGTTTGCTACAATTCCTATCGGGATTTATGCAGTGATAATGACTTTGCTCGTTTTAGGCCCGGTCTTGGTTGCAAAAGACTCACCATTCAAAGTTCACTTCGACAGATATAATCGATTCTTCTTCACGTTCATGGTACTCTGTGGCGTTTTTCCGATCAACAAAGTGCTGTACGAAGCTGTCCCTGTAGAGTTTAAAACTGTTGTCGTTGTTATTTTACCGATTGTGAAATTCGCTGCTAAGCATTTTCTCGTACTCGCTCTGCACGAACTAGTAGATGTGATGCCTGTACTTGTCGCACTGTCTGTTGACTTCATGACGACTTTATTTATCGCCGTGTGTATGTCGACTTCGGGGTCTTTAACTTTGACGATTCTCTTCATTACCGCAGATTTTATTCAATCGTGGCTGGAGTTTCGAGAGATGAGGACCAATTCACGAGCTTTGTTGCGGCTAGTAAATGACAGAAGAAATTCTAAAAATCGACCAGATCTTCCTAAAGCTAAAGATCTACTCTCGATAATTATTAATGTGGTTAAAAACTCCGGTGATCTTCGGCGGAAATCACTGGAAACGGTGCGTCTTTGGGCTTGTCTGCCACATTCTCTCACGAGAGAGAAAGCTGAGCGACTTCAGACACTCGATGCATCAGGTGTGTACAGTGAAAGGTATGATAGTATGCACAGGAAGAAGAGTCAACAGCTTCAGCAGCCAAGCTTACGACCACTTCGACAGGCATCCATTGCACCTATCTGTGATCCACCTACAGAATACCTTACTTCACAGCCAGAGAGTGAACGCAACAGTCGGCAACCAGAGAGAGCAAAGGCGCTGATGGTTCAGGGACTACAGATCCTATTTCACAGCGAGTATTTGGTTCTAGTCGAGTACGTCGAGTGCATGGTACCCCTCATTCTCTTGGTATACAGGTCGGCTCTCGAACGATTACCGAACATCGTGTATTACCCTGGTGGTGCTGGGTATTGGGGTATAAACGCTATAGCAAATATGGTGCTATTGGTGGTTCTGGAGATTGGATCATTGCTCTTCTTGAACGCATTCCTGCAACGCAAATTTGCCTTTTCTCCGTTATATCAGCTCGCTTTTGTGCTTGAAACAGAGGTGTTCGTAGTCCAAGCGATTTTCTTTATCCAGTGTCTCATTTTGCTTCAATTCGAGTTGGAGCATTTGGGTGAGTCTTCGCTTGCAATGCCTTGGGCTACTACTTTAGACTAATTTTTACATGGCATATACAGGTGCTGATTTCACTCTTGAATTTAAATGGCTTCGTGATAAAGGACAATAGCTACTATGCTAAACGCAGCCTTAAAGGTACTGAGGTTATGTTAGGGCAACCACATTGTCGTTCGAAGTTACCAATCAACTTTAAAAAAGTAACCAAATTGCTGATCGTAACAAGCTTTAACTGGTGTCAGTGTCAGTGTCAACATCAGTTGTACTTGTACTTCAAAGCTTTATTGGTATTATTATTCCATTAATTGTTGCTTTGAAGCCAAGCAAACTGGAATGTGAAATCGGCACCTTGGGAATATGAATACAACCCGTAATCAGAGCAGATCCAGATTAATAAGAGCAATGCACGCACCTAAATGCTCTAGTTGATATTGTAGCAGGAAAATTGTTTCCAAAAACAGGTTTGCCTGCACTGGGTAAATATGAGTTTCCAACACGAACGCAAGTTGGTAGAGCGGAGAAAATGCAAATGTCCGCTGTAGAAATAAATGTAGGAGAAGAAGTGACGCTACTTCGAGTACTGCAAACACAAGAAGGTTTGTCACCGCAGTCATGGTCCAATTTCCAGCACCACCAGGGTAGTAAACGACATTTGGAAGCTGCTCGAGAATCGATTTATACACGACGAATACAAGGGGAACAACGCACTCGATGTACTCCACCAATGCCAAATATTCACAATGAAAGAGAAGTTGTAGACCCTGTAGAACCAATTCTTTAGATCGCTTGGCTTGTTTAAAGCTTCTGACGCTGGTCCCTTGATTCTTTAAGAGCTTTCTGCTCGTTCCTGGAGGGGCAGGAGCGACTGATACATGTCGGAAATCCCAAGGTGATAGACATTCACGAGACTTCCGGTTGGATGGTATTAGCGATATTCTGTTGGAAGGAAGGCCATTTGGACCATATATACCTGATTCTCCCAAAATTTGCATCCTTTCAAGAAGTTTGTGGGGAATGAGACTGGGTGGGCTAGCCCACAGCCTTGCTCCATCTAACGACGTCACTTGATAGGAACTGGGATTGCGAGCTACTTCCAAAATCATTGCTAGCAGTCCTGGAGTCTCCGATTTCTCCGAAGAATGTTCATTCTTCATTCGAAGTCGCTCTTCTGTTTTTCTTCGAGCATCGGCAAGTTGTAACAAAGTCATCGCATTATTTCGCACTTCCCGAAATTCCAGCATACATTGGCAGATATCCGCTGCTATGAACAATGCTGAGAGGTAAATAGATCCTGATGTTGTCATACACACCGAGAGAAAGAGAGCACTGAAGAAATCAACTGAAAAAGCCACAAGTTCTGGTATAAAGTCTTCCAGGTCGCGAGTAGCGTGTACAACGAAGTGCTTTGCTGCAAATTTCCACATTGGAAGCACCACGACGACTGCACCTCGATATCCTTGCGGTATCAGATCGTACAGGACTTTGTAGAGTGGATAAACGCCTGTAAGCGCCAAGTGAACGAAGAAACATCTCTGGAATCGTTCGTGATGTAACCACAGCAATGTTCCCTTTTTGAACAAACCAGGACCAAAAACTAGTCGAGTCACTGCTGGGGCGTAGACTGCCATTGTGATGGCTCCCAGCTGCCACATGAACGGCACAGGGAAGCCAAATACTATACCTTCAAGAAGGTAAGTTCCAGTCTGAGCAATGCAGATACCTAAAGATGCTGCGATCATCTTGATGAGTGAGAGGTTGAAACCGGGAATGAATGCGTTGATCTGAGGGAACCCTGCGATACTTAGCGTGAATATCATCAAGCCCACACGAATCCAGAACATCCAGTTGGCAGCCCACCCTTCTGATGGAGGTCGGAGAGGAAGGCATTCAAGCAACACAGCTACAGTTAATACTGGAAGTGGAGTAAGGACACACACGAGGAACACACGAACTCTGGATGTAGTTTTACAATAATGCTCTAGCAATTCGAGACGCTCGACAGAGTACGATCCTTGACGGCCTACTTGAATTCTGTTCCAATACTCCTCGAAACGATTCCAACGTGACCCTTGTGAAACCGGTTGTGTCGTCTTCGTTGTTGTGGCATCCCTCGCTTCGTTTTGTGGTCCTGAATCCCCCATCAATCCTTGTTCTGACTACGAAGTACAAGAACGCACTAACAAAAGCAAAAATAGGCATCGCTGAAATTTAACTGATTTTGTTTCCTTGGGTCTAGAGTACTCCCTAACACTGACATGTTAGTAGCTATACATGTTAGCTATCTGTTAGTTAGTGTCTAGTATTTCGAGCTAACATGTCAGTAGCATTTCGCGACTAAGTAAGGATTTATGTATAACAAGTGTATGGTAAGTTTAGATTTGCTTTCTTGTGTCCTCCCTTGGAGATTTTGGTACGTAGGACGGTAAACTATACTAAAGTCGAAGTATTAGTCTTTTGAAAACATGGTTGGTCTTAAAGGAATTGGTCTGTGATCAGACATGACAAAATGGTAGCACATTACGCATTAACGTCTAAACGGATTGCCGTCCGGCAATGTCCGAGCTACGTCGGAAATATAGATGATAGGCGGTGAAAAATAATGCCAACCATATCCCCAGCACAGTTCATTAATTTCTCTTGCTAACCGCATCCTATGAGTCCCTCTGTTTACGATACTAACACATATTAATTGTTTTAGAACTAACACTTAGTTGGTGTCTAGAAAACTAACATGTCATTGAAGTACCCTACTTGGATACATGATTTGTACAGTAGTTATCAGTTATAACAGTATCGTGTTAGCTATATTACGTGTCCTTGAGCCACTCGAACTGAAGACTGAAATCAGCACCTGAACAAATAGTCAGTGCTTTACAATGCCAATGCACATGTTGCTTACCTAAATGAAAGAGTTCGTATTGCAGCAATATGATCAGAGCAACGAAAAGGTGAACTTGAACAGGACACATTTGAGTTTCAAGTACGAACGCGAGCTGGTACGTTGAAAACGCACATTTTCTCTGTAGGAATATGTTTAAGAATACGAAGGATCCAACCTCGAGCATGGCGAAGACCAACAAGTTTACAACGGACGCCACACTCCAGTTCTCATCATCATTTGGGTAGTAGATAGCATTCGGTAGTTGCCGTAGTATCAGTCTATACGTTGCAAACACGAGTGGAACAACACACTCGACGTACTCAACCAACGCGAGATATTCACAGTGGAAGAGTAGCTGGAGTCCTTGTAAAGCAAGTTCTTTCGGTCTGTCGGTCCGTCTAGCGTTAAAGTCTTGAGTATCCTTAATACATGTAGTCTTTAAACTGGGTTCGAATGCAAGAATCGGAGAAGCAGGGACAGGAGCGACTGACACGCGTTGTGAGAATCGAGGTTGGTTCTTTGGGTTTGGGCGTTTTGAACCAAAATCTTTGGATCCTTGAACGTAAACTCCCGATGCTTCCAGCATTTGGAGATGCCCAAGCTGCTCTTGCGTTATCGGATGAGGAAGACAAGACCACAGACGTGCCCCGTCCAACCACTTGACGTTGTACGCTCTAGGATTCCGTGTGAAAGATACGATCATTGTCAGCAGTTCAGTATTTTCTAATCTACTCAATCGTCGACTTTTTGTGCGAGGAAGATGCTCTTGAGAAGAGTGTCGGTCTTCGAGAAGTTCGAGCACGGCCTTAGCGTTCGAATACACTTCACGAAATTCCAATAGTGACTGACCCACGTCTGCTAAGATAAAGAGTCCAGATAAGTAGATGGAACCGGAAGTGTACATGCACACCGACACAAAGAGCGTTCCGAAAAATCGACAGAAAAAGCCACAAGTTCAGGCATATAGTCTTCCAGTTGACGAGATGATTGAACAACAAAACTCTTGGCGGCGAACTTCCAAATTGGTAAAGCAATAACAACAATACTTCGATAGGCCAAGGGTACGTGGTTGTAAAGCACTTTGCAGAGAGGGTAAACGCCGATGAGCGTCATATGTGCGAAGAAGAACCGATGGAATGTATCGGATGGTTTCTTGAAAGGCGAGTCTTTCGCGACTAGAGCTGGACCCAAAATGATTCTTGTGATTAATGGTGTGAGTATTGAGATGGGAATAACTCCAAACTGCATCATAAGAGGCACGGGGAATCCGATTAAAGATGCCGCTAGCAAACACGTCCCCAGATAGCACATACTGACCCCCAGAGCAATTGTTATTCGCTTGGAGATGGTAAAGTCAAGACCCGGGACGAATGCTGCCACTTGTGAGTTTCCAGCGATACCCAACATCAACTCCATGAGGAACAAACGCAGCCAGAAAACCCAGTTCGCTGTTACTCCTTCAGAGGGTTGTCGTAGTGGAAGGCATTCCAATAGTAAGGCTGTTGCAAGTGCAGGTATTGGTGTCAATAAACAGACCAAAAGTACTCGGACTTGCGAGGTGTTTTTGCAGTACAAGTCTAGACTCTCGAGTCTCTCGACGGAGTATGAGCCCTGACGACCAACTTGAATTTCATTCCACTTCTTCTCGACACGACCCCATGAAGAATATCTTGAGTGCTTCAATTGAGCTATGGGTCTCGCAGTGTGTGCAGGTTCTCTGATAGACGAAAGCTCTTTCATCGTTTCAGTGAACAAGTCAACCATCGAAGGTCAGGTCAAACAAGTTAAATTTGTTTGCTGTCCGTTATGATTTCCATACGATTGTTTGCCTTTTCATAGTTTGTGTGAGAATTTAAGAAACTCTTCCATGGCAATGACGGAGAATGGTAACAAGTGCAATGAAGGGATAATTTCCGCATCAGCAACTACTAGACGAAGGCTGACACTACTTGGGAGGCTTACCGCAGGGTGGAGAGCACTGCAGGTTGGCCGCCAAAGTTCCTACTCAATTGAGCGTTTGGAGAGTTTTGACTATTACTGCGAAAGTACATCACTAATTCGAGTACTGCTTGTATGTATACTGACGCCACTTCCTTCACTACTATTGGTAGAGTGTTTGCCATTGACATTTCCGTCCGATGGCTGGGCTGCCAACTGGATGTTCTGGATCCGGCTGGGATGCACGATATTCACCATGACGTTTGCTGGAATGTCCAATCTCCTAACGTATGTACCAAATCTAAACACCACGCTGCGGGAAAACCTCGTTATGGCTATTGGAACAAGCACAGCCTACGTTGCTACAGCTCTTCTATTAGCAGCAAGTGTTACTGGATTTCCGATACCGCTTTTATGGATTCTTGGAGGTTCTTTCATGTCGATTTACTTTCCAGCAACGGCGCTGCTAGTGTTTGGGTCGGCACCGCTCAAAGCAAATTCGCCCTGTCGAGTCAGTTTGGAGCCATTTTCATGCTACTTCTTCGCTTACATGATACTCGCTGGGGTGTTTCCATGTTATAAGGTGCTCTATGAGTTTATTCCAGTAAGGTTTCGAGGTGTTGTCATTATTATCCTTCCGCTGTGGCGTCTTACTGCGAAGAATTTCATGGTACGAGCTACACGAGAGCTCGAGGACTTCATGCCAGAGATCGTTGCCTTCTCGGTTGATTTTTTCAGTGCGCTCTTTGTGTGGGTGTGCATGTCAACCTCTGGATCCAGCAAGCTTGCACTTTTCTTTATTGGAGCGGATGTAGCACAGTCACTTTGCGAACTACATGACATTCGTAGAGTCTCAAACTCAATTCGAGGACTTCTGCAGCATCACCAGATTACTTGCGATCAAATAAACCGTCGAGTGTCCATGATCCTTGCAGTGACTCGGAATCCCAGCGCTTTCACGAAAAGATCGATGAATAGCTCGCGGTTGTGGCGTGTCTGCCTCACCCAATGGCAAGGGAATATACGAAACGGCTTAATTCGTCGGGGTCTGGACCTGGAAAAACGAACGTTACTTAAGGCATCACTCCCACTTTGACCAAAGTGCAGCAATAGCACCTTCTCCCACCCAGTCATTATCAGGACCAAGCACCGGAGCGATAAGTAAAGCCAAGACTATGCAGAGTGAAGCTAGCGAAGAATTCAACATGGGAGCCGAACATGCTCCATCTGCAAAGCAAATCATTCAAGAGGGACTTCGAGTTCTTTTCCACTGGGAGTATGTGGCCCTGGTGGAGTACGTGGAAGGTATAGTTCCTCTCGTATTTGTTGCATACAAGTCGGTGCTCGAGAATCTTCCGAACATTAGATAGTATCCGGGAGGAGCTGTAAGCTTGTCCGCGACATCCATTTTGAATATTTTGACGTTTGGAGCTCTTGAAGTTGGGGCGTTTCTTCTCCTCAATAGCTATCTACAAAGAAAATTTGTTTTCTCTCCAATATATCAGCTCGCTTTCGTGCTGGAAACCCAAATGTATTCTGTACCGCCATAACTTTTCATCGAGGCGTTCATGCTTTACAGTATGAACTTGCGCATCTAGGTACGAATTTCTCTGAAGCAGCTTGTTATCGGTAATTTTTTTTTTTGAGAATTCTTCACTTGACTGCGTTCTGCAGGTACTGACTTCAGTTTCCATTTCGAATGGCTCAAAACTAGTCTCGATTACCAAGGTGCTTTGAATCGAAAAGTACTACTTGCGTGGATTTTTTTTTTTAGCAGATTCTATTGATTTATTTACTCGCGTGTAGCCATTTCGGTGGATCGTAAAATTAAAATATACCAACCGTATTTTGATAAATAAGGACCAAAACACTATTTCGTGTGCATTTTGTGTATAATCCAACTGCCAACGTAGCACCATCACAGCAGACCGATCATCCCGCCCCCGCCGCCATGTTCGCGTCCAAGCTCGGCTACAAGGGCGCGCAGACGCGGTTCAACTTGCTGCTGCTTGAAGATGGCGAGTTCTTCCTCGATGTACGTGTCCACATTCCCCTCTTTTTCACCCTCTAATTAGTCGCTAACAAGCATTAAATTATCTCATTTCTGCAGGATTTTAGCGTGCATCGCTATCTCGAGCCGAATCCGGACACGCACCGGTATTTCTCTCATATATTTCATCATAACATACTGGAAACTAACGTCTAGTACCATTTAATGCTCAGTAAAATTCAGGGGCGACTGAAGATGTGCACGCGCGGCTTCTTTTTCGAGCCCCAGGACAGTAATTTGCCCATTTTGAGGTTCTTTTTCCGCGATATGAAGGAAATGCCAGTAGCGGAGATACACGAGCATCCACAGGCCAGCGACTGTGCTATTTTCCTAACGTTTAAGGTCTCGTCAGTGGTGGAGATGAAGGAGAGAGGAGTCGACCACCCTTACGTACAGAAGGAGACCAGCGCGGAGAGCTCAGGAGTTCCAGAGAAATACATCTTCTCTCTACTACACTCCAAGATCGAGGAGTTCTTGAAGAACGTGCGGCCGATCTGGGAGCTCGCACACAAGAAGGGAGTTATGAACAAGGTGGACGAAGAAGCGCTACTAGAACCGGTACTAACACCGAGACAAACGGACCAGTTCGATTCGAGCTTGTTGGTGGATTTCCGGGAACGTCCATTGCTGACGAAAGGCAAATTGGTCGACCGGATTGTGCCACTACTGAAGTATCCAGGCTGTTTGATGCTGACGAACCAGCGACTATATTTCCAGCCGGCGCAAGTGAATAACGTTGGAGATCCGGTACTTAACTGGGCGTACAATACAATCGAGTATTTGTACAAACGACGTCATATGCTCAAGCAGACTGGACTCGAAATCTTCCTCAAGAACGGCGAGAGCTTCTTCTTTAGCTTCAGAAACCACGTTGATCGGGATGAAGTCTACGATATGATGGTGAATCAACCGGATTTAAAGCACTTACAGCAGACGGATCTGGAGTCGATGCTGCGTAAGTGGCAGCAGCGTGAAGTGTCGAATTATGATTACTTGGTGTATTTAAACAACGCAGCTGGGCGCACTAAGAACGATCTGACGCAATATCCAGTGTTTCCGTGGGTTTTAAACGACTACCAGAGTGCATCAATCGACTTGTCGGACCCTGCAGTGTATCGTGATCTATCAAAACCCATCGGTGCGTTAAACGAAGAGCGTCTGGAGTTCTATAAAGCACGATTCGAAGCGATGCCGCGAGGGATGGAGGATGAGGGATTGCCGCCTCCGTTTTTGTATGGCACACACTACTCCACCCCCGGATACGTGCTCTACTATTTCGTACGCATGGCTCCGGAGTATATGCTGTGTCTCCAGAACGGCAAGTTTGACGCCCCAGATCGACTCTTCCAGAGTATTCCGAGCACCTGGAGCAGTTGCAACACGAACCATGCTGACCTGAAAGAGCTGATCCCTGCCTTCTTCGACGATTCCATGTCACCGGAAGAGTGGCTCTGCAACGGAAAGAATCTTGACCTCGGAACCACGCAAAAGCTAACAAGGGTGCGTGAAAATGACTGTTTTTGGACCAGATTTTTTTTTGCTAATTTTGTGCGCTGTAGGTTGGCGACGTTGAGCTTCCTGCGTGGGCATCAAGTCCATCTACTTTCGTTCGAATCAACCGGGAAGCTCTGGAGAGTGAATACGTCTCAGAACACCTTCACGAGTGGATCGACTTGATCTTTGGTTGTAAGCAACGTGGCGAAGCTGCCATCGAGGCTAACAATTGTAAGTATTAGTGCATCGTAATCTGTGGTTGACTGGAGAATCTGACGTTTGTACAGTGTTTTACTACCTGTCATATGAGGGCTCTGTGGATCTCGAGACGATCACGGATCCAGTGGAGAAGTGCTCGTTTGAAGCCCAGATCCAGGAGTTTGGCCAAACCCCGAAGCTGCTGTTCTCTGGTGCACATCCTTCTCGTAACGATGTCGGTAAAGCTGTAGCAATCGCTACACCCGATTTGATCCCGTCGCCACGTAAGCTCGAGGAATCAAATGGCGCAGCTAACGGTTCGTCAGCCAGTGAAGTCGAGACTCGCACTCGAGAAGACAGCGTTTTAGGCGAGAACACATCCTATGACGAGATCGAAGAGGAAGATAACACCACGGGCAATCGACGCAGTATGTTTGCATTCCGGACTCGCTCGTTTGGCGCCGTACCGAAGCAAGCGCAACGCTTTGTGGGAGGTATTACAGCTCAGCTTCGTCGCCGCATGAGTGCGGAGTCATCTAGACGCTGGAATTGGGCGTTTGGGACGAACAGCGATGCTTCTTGGGCACCGTCAGCGCACTACATGCTGCATGCAGGGTAAGTTCCTGCCTTGTATCATTGAAGTACTATTCGTCTAAGCTTACTTTGATCTTTATGTGTAGCGAGGTTACTTCGCTGGTTCTGGGGAAGGATGGGCGTGCGTTATTCTCAACATCAAAAGACTCGACTTTCAAGGTTTCAGCAACTCTGGACGGCACGTTACGACGTAATTTGTCATGCAATCTGGCGCTATCCTGTTGTGATGTGTCGGCCGATGAGAAGTATGTCTTCGTTGGATCCTGGGACAACTGCATCTACATGTATTCTATGGACGTTGGCCGAGTGATCGACCAGATCACAGCTCATGACGACGGTCTGTCGGCTGTCTGCGTCTTTGAAGATCGCTTGCTTTCGAGTTCATGGGATGGATCAATTAAAATGTGGCACTATACACCGAAAGGGATTGCTACAGCTCCTTTGTCGACATTTATGGAATGTGAAGAATCCGTGGTCAAACTCGCTGTAAGTGCGGATGGCTCCACGGGTGCTGCCGCTACAAGAAATGGTGCGTACTCAGCGAGTTATTTTACACCCCTCGTACTGATTTATAGTATTTATTTGTTCTCGTAGGGATCGTGTACCTGATTGATTTGCGCACAAACGAGTTGATCCGAAAACTGTTTGCGAGTCCAGTACACCAGGCAGAAATCTGTGGCTTGACCTTCTGTGGTGGAGCGTCCACTATTGCCTGCATGAGCACAGCGAACGAACTTTCTGTCTATCAAACGGATGGCACACGAATGGTGACTGTCAATGTGAACGCGGATGGACCTGTCCGGTACGTTTTTCCCTTTTTTTCCAGTTTAGATGGTGGGAAATAGGCTGACTTGGTGTGTAGATGCTTCGACTCAGACGGAGAATACGCAGTTGGAGGAACGTCTACAGGCAAGCTGCTGTTTTGGAAACTTGATGAACCTACAGGTCAGGAGCAAGTGCTGGAGATCCCGGAAGCACACGACCAGGGCGTGTCAGCGCTTACTGTTAGTCCTCATGGCTCCACGATTGTGTCGGCATCTGCCGATGGAGGAATTCGCATCTGGCAGCTACGCCGCAAGACTGCTTCTCGTGGCCGTCTCCCTGCTTTCTTCTAGACCACGTGGATACGCCGGTGAATACGCTATCCTGGACGTGCTCAATCAGTTTGAATTGCGGTAGATATACATATGTCAATGTTTATTCTGTTTAGACTCTTGGGTTCTTATTGGGAATTGGGATGAGCAACTTTTTTTTTGGAAATCGCTCCGATTCATGCTTGCGAGAAACTACTGGTAGCAGAACTTCAATAGGGATAATCGTCAGATAAGCCCGTATCGCCGTCAATTGGGATGATGTCAGACAAGCTCGTTTCGTACTGGTGTGTATCGTCGTTTGCGAGGGAATGACTTCATCCAAGGGAATTGCATGT